CCTCACTAAACAGATCAGCAATTCAAAACTATGCGAAAAGTTCACAGCAGTCTAGTACCAAACAGTATGTATCATAAGTTCATACAGAAATGCTGAATGTGAAACTTTACTAGTCTGCACCCTTTGCCGAATTTGTTCATGGACTTGGCAACAGAAAACACGTCAGTGAGCGATTTATGCTCGTCCGTTTGGGTAATTCTAGGCTACAAAATTTCCTTTAGAGACGGTCGTACCTGAATGCGGACAACCTCAGTACAGAACATACATATTGGTCTAGGTGGTTCAGAGTTTGAATTCTGAATGGACGGTAGGTGATGTAAAGTCAGTCCAAGTAGATCGGGCAAGACGCAATGTCAGGTCCAAAGGAGAAACACTGCCCAGCAATTGATTGACTGACTTCTCTGCTTCCAGAAGTGTGTTCAGTACTTTGAGACAGTAGTTCTTCTCAGATCGTCCCAGAAAAGCAACGGTGGAACGATGCGATTCTTCTTACGCACAGGCACACACAGAATCAAACCGTAGTTCGAAGTTTCTTGCGTCAGGATACGTCTGAGAACATAAATTATTGGTCATTTGACTTTTACGATGACTGATTCAGCACGACAGAAACTTCCGCAATCAAATTACCCAGCTCAGCAATCAAACCAGCCATGCTACCTGAGCTATCAACATCTGCCTCTATAGCAGAAACTTCTGCGTTTAACTAGATGTTCAGTCCAAAACACTTCACCATGGAGGCTTTCGGATCGCAGCCAATACGGCCTGTTACTGACCAGTTATTTCCGTTGGCACTTTTTCAGTGGAGTAAAGCGTATGCCCCAACACTTGAGTATATCCTACTGCAGTAAGCAAGCCTATGAGCAGAGCTACAAACTGAGGTAAGCTCCAGGTAATCAAACACAAAAAATAGAAAAATAGAGAGGATACCCTTTTGGAGAAACAGCTCATTATCGGAACAGATGAAGAGTTTCCACCAGCGAGGCGAGCAGGGCTGTAACACGGCCCATTTCAGAAGAATCTGCAGAACAATCCGTCGGTTGATACCGTCCTGTGCATTTCTATGATCCAGGAGAATTAAACACGTGATCTGGCAATTGTGACGAGGCCAGGAAACAACCTTTGTACGAAATAAATAATTAGAGAGAAAAAGCGGGCGCTAACTTTGGTGAGTGGGCTCACGGCAACGTGTTTCACCTGTTGAATATCTTATGGGAAATGGTTCATTCACGTGCCCATCGATCAGGCTTTGATAATCACACGAATTTCAGAGATCCAAACGTGGTTGCTTTTGTTCGGTGGTTGTCATGGTGACCCTGTTTCACAGTGTCATAGTACATGCAGAAACAGCAAAGGGTAACGAACACGGTTCGCACACAGTTTGTCCACCACCTTTGACGCTGAGCACATGATTAAATGGTGTTTGCTAAATTCCTCAATTCATTGTTGAAGTGTCATGTGCTTATCAGTGAGCGGTTGACCTAAATAACGACGTAATGGACACTCATAAAGTCGAAAATGTCAGTAAGAAAGGAAGGTAGCATACAAAACATCTGTCATCTATACTGCGAGCTACATACATACTTGGAGCTGATTAGTAGAGACTGTTGATATTCGCATTTTTTCATTGGCTTTAGTGTTACGACTGCGAAAAGTTACAGAATCATAAAATCCGAAACACACAACAACAGGTTAGGAATAAAATTTTGTCTGATCGCTGATTTTCCAGCTTCAACACTAAGCTGGATTCGTGTCCCCAACTTTCTTCTGAGTCCATCTACTTCTTGTTCCCGCCTTTGTAACACCAAAGCATTTCACATGCACTGCACTCTCATTTCTTCCATTCAGTTCTCAGAGAAATATGAGATGACCGAATGTTCAAGATCCCAGTCTCGATAAACAAATTACTTCGGCATCACGCCTGATAAATGACTTTTCATGACTTATATTCTGCAAATAGTCTGCAGTGAATTGGTCGTGAAATCTGATCTTACACGCACCTGGTATGTCCTAATAAGGGCAGCCGGCCTCAGTTGACTGAGTTTTTCGGCACTTACCACATATGTGCTAAAATATCACTTACACGGTTTGTTAGTAGTACATTTTATCCAAAGTGTAGCAAAGTTCAGGGGTTACACAAACGAGACAATGTCTCTACCTAACGCCAAAGGATTAGCCGCTGGGCTTCAATCAGTATGCACCATAAATTTGACTCTTTTCAAATGTAAGACCACGAAAGTCCTGATGCAAATGCATCTTAGCTCATTACTATTTGTTTTCCTTTTAAACACATAAGACAAGTTTATAATTGCGCAACTATCAGCTATTTACCCAGTGGGCTGGAGTTATGCTTCATCTGTAGCATACACTCTTACCTTTCTCAGTGTTTGCAGCATAACGCAACGACGCTTCCTAGCGGCTTCCATTTAAGCGAGACCATGTTTGTACTAATCTTGGAAACAAAATTATATCTGCCCTCAAACGAAATCATGCTCGCTTAAGATTGATTGCGTCCTACAAAGGCGTTCTTAACCTGCTTTGTACTTTGCGCTCATTTAATGTAACCTACCATGTCACACGCAGATGTAGTGATACCCACAGATCGAACAAATCCGAATCTAGCACAGATGATGGTTGAAAACCCATGGTACGATACAAAGAGCGCAACAACACAGGACTTGTGAACTGGATTCATCAGTAGGCGTGGTTATTAATTTGGTTTAAACCAACTGTCAAAGACGGGGCCTATTAGCCGCACAATGCTCTCAGCTCCAAAATGTTCACAAGTGGAGTAAAACCTTTTGCGCCAGAACGTTGAATTTTGGTGCGTATGTGCCCATTTTAAAAAAACATTCTAATCTATATTCACACTTTTGCAGCTCACCAGATTTCACTGTCAACTGAAGCAAACATAACTCTTGCGGAAAAATCTGGTGGAATAATCTCCCAGACCCTGGGATGCCTAAAGGGGCGCAAAAGTTTGGACTGGTAGTCTGAACTCAGTTGTCCGATTGCTTTAGTCCATCAGAGACACGTCATAGCTTTAAAAAATTCAATTCCATTGTGCGAATACTGAGTGCCGTCAAAGACGATTTAGGAAAAGGGTGACCCCGACGAGTAACAACTGGTGGAGTGCAGCATAGGGAAGCAACACCGGGAGTAGATGCTACTGCAGCGAAGTGTGGTAAAGATACCTCAGTATTCCTGGAAAATCGGGACAGTGTTTGGAAAACAGGACGGCGCAGATTCTGGTTTCACTACTGAATAGCTCTACGAGTAACTGAACCATTAAGGAATCTCCTTCGAGCATTGGTTTTTCGGTCCATCTGTCCGTCTATTCGTTTATTGCTTGTGTTCCCGCATGAAGAATATCGGATTTTTTAGATTTTATCTTTGGAAATGCAGTTAAGTTGGTCAATACGTTCATTCGCAGAACTACTATTAGGTCTTTGCCTACTACCAATGTGTCAGTTCGCAACTCCTGCTAAGCCAGACGCAGCAGGCACCAGCAGGCCTAGGCGCTGTAACACCAAACTGCGCACTGTTGCGACAGTCATGTGATCAGACCATCATATGACTCGTAGAGAATGCATGAAGTAGGTAATGTGTTGGAATACTGGTAGCTTGGGTACATTCATTGGCAATCGATCATGTGGCTGTTGACCTGTTCGCCAAGATAGGCACTAACTGGCAGACATTTCGTCACCATTCGAGGAGACGTCATAACCCAACAGCACACTAATGATGCCGAGACGTCTGCAAGTCAGTTTCCAGGCTCGGCGAATAGATCAACAGCGACCTGATCAATTACCAACGCATGAAGTCTCGTGAGTATTGATTTTTTTTACTTGACTTAACCTCGTTATTTTGGTCGGTGCTTGGTCCTTTTTAGGTTTGGATAGAAGGGCACCTCCAACAATTTTAATGCGATGAAGAATTGTCCAGTATGCGTTCCGCCTGCCTAGCTGATCCATACGAGACACGTGTGAAGCTGAGTCGCTCTGATACAGGAGCCAATCTCCGTAAAGTAACTTGGCCTATAGCGTCGTAACTTAATTAAAACACCTGGTACAGGATGACACATGAACTAAGCTACCTAATATTGTTCACCTTGTTACACATGTTTCCTTGGGATTCTGTAGAAATAATTGAAGCCGCCAAATTTCAAGAAACTTAGTGTTCTTCTAGCCTCAGATTCGAGTGACTATTGTGAGTAGCTTAAGACATTTATTTTAGGTTATCACGTTCGTTGATTTAATAGTCGACTTTAGTTACAGAAGTAAATCCACAAAAAGGGCGCATGCCATCATGAAAAAAAAAACAGACTGTCGAGAACGGTTCCATTCAGTCACGTCTTGATGAGCCTCTTGTAAATCCAATAGGTAAGGAGTGAGTCACTGGCTCACACCATGAAGTAGCGATAATCAATAAGATCGCCTCGCCCCTAAACACAGTTAGCTGTCATTATCGGCAAATCCCTTGTAAATTTCCTGAGTGTCAGCGGAAACTGAACTGGATCTCTCGTTTATGATGTCCTTCAGCTGCATGTGCTACGCATCCTTATAAGTAGTGATCCATGTTAGAAATTATCAGCGTGCCTCAATCACACAGTTGGGAATATACAACCTAGTGTAACCTGGCTTCTGGACTGGATCGTTGCATGTGATTTATGGGACGTCCTGCTTTCTCATCTCGCTTCTTACAGAGTTACTACTGACAAAAGGTGAGTAACCTGTTTACAAGTCGAAGTACGTGACCACAGGCGTTTAATCACCTTATAGTCAACTTCCTGTACAGAAAAACTGACTCCACAGTATGCAGCAACTGGAATGTGGTCGTCTATATAAATATGTCAGTGCTCGTCCTTGAAACTTCCCACCTGTGTGAAAGTCCTCATCAACCAAAGGTATGTGTACCTGCGTCCGTGACCTACCGGTAAGCCTGGAAAATATAGCAGCATAATTGCCCCTTTTCCATAGACCATATTCACGCTCCTGTGATTTGTCTGTATCCGTGTAGCTAACCTACCACCCATCAGGTCAGGAATCAGACTGTCTTTCTTGACTTCCAACTCCGGATATTTCGCATTTTTTCAAAAACCACAGGGTAACAGTTACCAGCTTGTTTTGCACAACAAAGAATGCACAGAAAAAATGTGCCGACAATGACAGTAATGACGTTGATGGAAAGGACGGGTGGGTGTAACGTGACTGATGGAAATGTCTGAAGGTGAGAAATTTAGGTTGTCTATGCGTGTTATTTCAACGAATCAATGCGCAAGTAAGATGGAACGATGAAACAGAGATTATGACGTGGTCCCATGGCAGCCTACTTCAGTACCACGCTGCTTTCCTCGGGACCCGAGGATTTTACATACTTTTCTGAATCGGCCAAGTAATTCATTTGAACATAACATAGGAATTCATCCATCATTGAATTGAGTTCTTTCAGTTTGTGACTCAGCTCCCTCTCTGAGTCGTCACTGTAGCTTGGTTCCTGCGGCCCCGTCACCGAACCAACGTATCTCCTTCCCCAGTCGGTACGATTCAACCCAGTCCAAACTACCAACTGTGAGAGAATGAACTGAGTCATCTCATGGTCACCCGACTGCAACCGGATATCCTGCATTACGCTGTGGAAACTCTCGTCCAAAATGGCGAGGAACATACTGATGACAATGAAGATTATACACAGCGTAAAGACTGCAAACATTAGCGGACCAAGGATGAGTTCGCGTTCATACATGCTGGTAAAATCAAATTTACCCAAAATTATTTGAAGACTGGTTTCCACAGAACTAAGGAACGTGCGAAAACCGTCCAGTGTGTCTGTGTAGAGAAGATAAAACACCAAGACAAAAGCCATGAAGATTACCATGAACACAATCATGAAGTATTTCAAGTCGTGCGCGGCATACCGTAAAACTGCACCCAGCAACCCCACGCGTTGATTGAAACGGAACAAGCGGACGAGCTTCAGCGTGGCGAAGAAACATATAACTGCAAGCAAGTAGGTGAGGGCCTCGTTCCAGTAGGCAAGGAACTGGAAGTTCATAAATATGTTGCCGTGCGTACGAGAAAACTCAGCGACTGCCTCTTTTGTGGCAATAATCATATACGCGTAGGCTGCGATGGCTGCAAACGAACCAATAATAATGAACCATTCGATGTAGTTCCACATTTCCCTGAAGTATCCACATCGCTGTTTGTAGAGATTGCGGATCTCTTTGACCAAATAGCAAAGTAGAGCCAAAATGTAAGCGACCTAAAGTGGCAGAATACGGAAAAAATCCAAGTGAGGCAGTTATAGGACCCAATGCGGAAGGATATGGTAAAATTTCTTCCAGGAATTACCCTAGTGGCTGTAGCTTCTTTCTCTTCTAGTAACGTGTTTTGTTCGAGTTCACACTGATGTGATTTTGATCTCGTGAGTTTCACTGCATCCACTCGAACTATGACATCAGTTAGAATTAATAGCTCACAATAGCGGACCAGAGGGAATTAGGTCCATTGATTGGTCAACCGTTCATCGCATAACGACTCAGAAACAGCTACCACATCCGCTAGTTGTCAAGGCCAGCTGGTCAACATCTTGACTGTGGTGATTTCTGGTCCAGACATCGACATAAAGCTGTCAACTTTTTTGGGTTTCAGTGCTGTAGTAATCTTTCGGCTACACTGCCTGGAACTCAGATTTTTATGTTTCAGTCGTTCCACAAAAGCTGAAGAGGATCAGTCCGACGAAGAACAGCGAGTCTCCCTAATGCGACAAATCATACTACAAGGCCGCCTGGAAGTAGCCATATTATCCTTTGCAATATGAGTGTAAGTGGAGTAAAGTGTTCCCCTCAAGCAATCACACTGTCCATATATATGGAGGCCGCTATGCTGCCTTTTCATGAGGAAGGATGGGTTAAAAGAGGTTAGCCCTAAAAACGGCACGCTCCGATCGTCCGACGGTTGGCTGTGACCGCCGATGAATTATTCAGTACGGTTGAAATACTTCTAAAACTAAGGAATTTGGTGCTGCTCAAAAGACACCTGTTGTGTTCCGTGCTGCCAAGTGGGTCATGTTGTTGCGTTTCTGGCTCCGGGAAGGTACTCTGTAAGCAAACCCCAACAACTACCGCCCTGTGGTTTAGAATTTTGAGTCACAGGCTAGCGAAAGGCTTTTGAACAAGAGGCCACATCTCCCCTCTGCTTTTTGGGTTTCAATTTTGAATCAAGGGTTCAAGGTGGGAACCGGGACTTATCAGTGGTCCTTGTAAATCTGCGTTCACTAGTTGTCACCCACGCCCTGTCCCTATCGATCAAACTTCTTACTGCCGCCAGTTCCCGTGTGCCAGCTCCCTACCCACTTTTCCGTTTCTTAACTATCGCCTAGCAAAGTGAACCAAAATAATCCCGTGATATATTTCAATGTCCGCACTCTCTGTCAAACGATAAAGCACCTATCTCTTGTAGGAACCTTGCTTCCTCTCTCTGTCGATGTGCCCCCGAAGCACGCATACAAGACCGCATTTCGGTCGTGCACCTCAGGCTGCTTTGAATGAGTTCGTATGTTCCGTATTTCACTCTTCGGGTATCTGGCGATCTTGACACAATGGCTTATGGTTTGGGGCTTATGGAGTGGTGGAGATACTTAGCTCCAAGGCTGAAAGTGCCTTACTGGGCTAGATCCCAGTAAACAGTCGTTTTGTGCTGTACGTTTGTCTGGTTCAATTAAGATCAAAACAGGTCGACGCGGTTAACGGTCTTTATTTGTCGCGTCGGTGTACGCTCCAACATCTAGGGACAGCTTTTACCGAGATCAGTTATGACTGGTTCGATCAGCAAGAAGGAGGGGCATAGTAATCCTGGCGGATGATCTGAGCACCCAGGTTGTACGAGTAAGCCCGCAAGAAGAACTATTAGATGGAATCTATATGGAAAATCTATACCTTGGAATGCAGTCTAGTAATTTTCAGGCATAAATTAATAAAAATCTAATCACCCTGTCCACGTAAACATCCTCTGCTTGATAGTGCCCGGATCCAATCTGAGAATTATACGTATTAGAACATATTCGTGATCTGGATAAGGTGGGGCTACCTGAAGGAATTGGCAAAACTGGTCCCTTCCGAGAGAACCGAAAGACTTCTAGGAATCTAGCAAATGCGCTCCATTCTGAAGAGAGATTCCTTCTTACTAAAGAAGGTGGAACCAAAAAAGGAATCACCTTTCAGCTGTATCAGAGGAAACACAGCAATGGCCGAACCACACGCTACTATGCAAGGCTAATGAGTTGACTATCACTCTGGTCACATTAGGCGCTGCGACGTCAACTTGGTCTACTTAACTTGAATTTATTAGACTTTGCCAGTAAGTTTGTCCAGAATTTTAACGCCCCAAGTGACACGTTCTGATGCACATTACTATTACTGCAATAAGGTCATAGCCATGGATATGCAATGGTATTTAAAACCAAATGCAATTAATTCAGACGATGTTTATTGATACACACCCAAAAGTTGTGCAAAAGAGCCGCATACATATGCAGTTTCACTATAGGCGTAGAATGCCGCATTAGGGATCTTATGTGACATCCAGAAAACACCTCTATCTTGGTCTCCCTCGAACGTGCTTCCTCAAGGCCGAAATTCTCTGAAATCTCCCATCAGAAGTGGCATACTGTGGGTGAACTAAAGCTCATTCTACGAGTACGTCATCGAGTTAATAGACGAAACAGGTATCCAAAAATTCATGTATTTGCATTGTCATTTGCATGTGATAAGTAAGCTCAATTAGTTTTTAGTTGCCTTCCGGGATATCGGGTGTGCGAAACTGGCTTGCTGGGTACCTGGTTATAATGGAAACTGTAGAACTATGAATGACCGTTCATAGTGTTATGCAGATGTCAAATGCGCTTAATAGTGGCTGAGGAACCGAGCACTTGGCATACAAGCGTTCTGTTTTCAGCTTAGCAGACCTGTTGCTTGCGATTACACAGTGTCAAAAATCTCTAAGGTGATTGGCTATTCGGGAGACACCCTATGATAATGTCAATACGAGTTGTGCGGCGCCGTGGTTTGAGAAGGGCTTATCACAAATAAATCGTGACCAACCTGGAAACCGATCTCGAGTGCAGAGGCTTGTGATCCAGTTGTCCCAAAAAGATTGGCAGTTTCGATTCGATAGGTTGGAATTAGCGTCCCAACACCCGGTTTTTCTATCAACACGGTGATGATGGCGAATAAGTTAATATTCGGGTTGTACACGGTGAGCTGCACAATCACGGCTCTGGTACAAAAATCAATCCAGTGTACGGATTCCAAGAAGTCTATCGCCTTCAGCATGTCCTCCAGTGTTCCTCGTAGCATGTGACTGTATCCGCCACCTGAGTACCAGTTGGTTTCGCCCATGTACGGTACGCCATCCAATTCGGAAGCTGTTGAGTACTGGAATTCCAGCATCGAATTGTTTCTATAGTCGTCACCCTGGAAAGGAATCCAACCGACGCCATAGGCCTGTTCGTCTTGACGGAACATGTCGTAGGTGGCGTAGCAGTACTTTATCACTGGTGTGACCATTTTATAGACATTGCAGGAGTCTGGCAATAGAAAGTGGACAGATTCGAATCCACCATAGGACGATGGCAATAATAACCACGACATGTTTAGGAGAGTGGACTTTCCTCCCCTTCCCGCACACGGTCTGCGCCGCACTAATTCTAGTCGAGAACTTGGAACTTCTGATCTGATAGAAATTTCGGCTAAATAAGTTACTTAGTTGTTAGACTATGAATACGTCAGCCGAATCTGTGATTTGTGAAATTGTTAATCTACGAAAACGTAGTAGTGACTGGTTGAGGCCTACTGGTTTCACAAATGCACGAAAAGCAGAAGCTGATAACGACTTTACCGGCATACATTCAGCCTTCTAGTGGATTCAGTCAAATTTGATACAAGTCGTATGGGAGGACTGCTCAGAATCCGTAAACAGCCCACTACCGAGTTCACATTGTTTGCAGCACTGAATTCCTGACTTGAACCACCGTTATTGTGAAACTTCACTGTTGACTTCATATGCATGTCGAAATTGCCGCAACTGGAGACTTAATGGAGTCCACCGTAGTCAGCGGTTTTGAATATCTTCGCAATCGAATCTTAAAGTGGCTCATGGGCTGCACATTACGCGGAAGAATACTAATGTGCTATTGACCACGAGGAATGGAATCGAGTTTCCGGTTGCACCGACTGCAAGGTGCAAAGGAGCTCAAAAGTGGACTCCATGAACTACTTTGAACCCCCCCCCCCCAAAGTTCCCGCTCTCTCTCTAAGCATCCTGTTTTTCCAGGGACTTTATGCAGATGAAATGGCAGGCGTGTGGAGAACGGTTCCGGATCAGTCGAGCTGACACGTGTTAGTGTGCGGTCATCAGAAGAAAGAGTGGTCATTATCTGAATTCCACTTGACCTCAACCCCCCTCAAACTAAGTTGTCCGAGCACTCATGACCCCACAAAGACCATGGAAAGTTTACCAATGGCAACCGAGTTGAATCATCAACTGAAGCACCCTGGCGTGGAAGTTTAACGAACCAAACCCGAGCAGAATTAATTTGAAACTCCTCCAATCCACCAAAGCAATATTTTGACAACTTCACTAACCGACAAGAGCCGTTAGTTGATACTCAACACTGATCTAGCGTGATAATCTGAAGCGGACTGACTTACCGATTGGTTCCCGTCGGCCTTATAACCTGGCCAATTTGGTGACCTGCTCACTTGGCTTGTGTCAAAAGCGAAACGTTGCCCGAATAAAAACTACCGATTGTTTATCAAGCTCTTCTGAAACGATGACCTGGTTAGATTTTCATTCCTGAGAAATGTTAACGGGTGTTTTGAGGAGCTAATACTAGCAACGTCTACAGTTCAGCATCAATCTCCTAAAAAACAACTTCACACAGCGATGGAACTTGTGTGAGGTATATTGATTCTGTTGGCTTACCGCTTCTAGTTTTAGCCGTATTTAATTCTTGCTATCTTTAATTCACTCACAGTGTTGAAGAGCCTCTTATCGGTAAACTTTCGCATCTGCATTAGCTTTTACACATTTTCGAAAGAGTTTCTGTTCGATTGGTTTGCAGCACAGTCTAAAAACCGCAATTTACGGCTAATCATTTTTTGCCAATTTTTGCCTACAGATAGAAGTGACGTCACTTCAGCTTACCGTTTTTTTTCTTTGAAGAACTGATTTAGCAGTTCTGATTTAGCAGTCTGTTCTGAGTTTTCTGGCGCGTACGTCTCATTCCAAGCCTTGAAAGTCATTCCCTTGTATCCATTCTTGTTTTCTCCGACCAGAAGATGAGAGGGACTTGTTTTCGCCATGGAATACAATCTTGTCTGTTCAGCAGTTACGTATTCTTCATCTAGCTTGAAGATATCTATGATCCTTGTGCACAGAAGTCGGCCAGAAGAACCGTCGTCATTCTCATGTGTCCTAAGTGTGGTGACTATTGGAATAATGCTGGGCACACTTTGTACTCACATCCAAGTGTTATTCGATTGCAAGCGGCCCTCATCAGCCGCCATTTCGCTCTGCAAGGCTGTTTTCTGTTTTGGAGCTCTGATTTCTCCGAACCTATTATCATACGCATGGGCTAAAAATTATTCACAAATTAATTTTTACCTCACCAGTTTCATCACAACACATCCGTTTTTGATTCCGGTATTTTTGTAGGTGATGAATGTTTCTCTCTCTCTCTTGAACCCTAAACAGCCGTTATCTACTTCCAATCTTTCAGTGATTTCAAGTGAAATGTGACTGTGATGACACAGTGGGTTTCTTTGACCTATGAGTGTCACAGACTTATCTACAGTTTACAAGCGACCCTATTAACAGAGTGCAACTTGTCAGTTCATGACATGACGTTCTATAAGCTTCATATGAATCAACTCAAAATTGCTCCCAAATTTTATGAGAAACTGTTTCCCAGGGCTACTTGAAATCTGGATTGTCCTAATCTCAAAGACACCAAACAAATGCTACTGACTTTGCTGCAATACCATTAAAATCCAGCATCTAAAATAAAATTGCAAGGATCAGTGGTGGCTTGTGAGTAAAACTCAAACAACTAAAAATTGAAAAAGGCCCGTGAACAGAATGAAGTGAAGTAGCACGAGTAGCAGACACGCAAATGCGTATCCAATTAGTAGATACTTAGGGATTCATGAGCAATTAGTCGTCATGAGACCTCCCTTTTGTTGGCGAGGGTTTGAGAAACCCAGATCCACCCGTTTGTAATAGAGGACGATAAATATCGTTACTCAATAGCAGTCGGTGTTGATCTGGTTAATTTCATGATTTTTTGTGACTCTGTTCAGGTACACAATGCTGGATGACTGGCAGTCGAGGTGTCGCCCAACGTCTCGGCCAACGCCCTCATGATCGATAGTCCGTGATCTGTCCTTCAAAATAAAGTTAATCTTCAAAGTTCAAGGAGTGAATGCCATTCGGATACATCACTGACCACCTTAGGATATGAGCTTGAACTGCGGTATCCAACGTGGACGGCAGACTACATACAGAACGAAAACGAATGTGTACAAAAAGCGCTTATTTGAGTGTGCTGAGGAGTCATTGTTGTCCTTGACAGAGAAGCTTTAAAGAACGCGAGAAGTTGCTATTGGCTCTATGTATCATTGCGAACTACTGCAACATCCCTTCGTAATTCATCGTCACTGAATCACCGGTTCCCAAAAACATTTTTTAGCCGGGATTCATTTATCCCGATGACAGTGTATCTCAGATATGGATAAAATCATGCTTTTCATCAACAAACTTACCTATCCCGCAAAACCCCAAAGTTGGAACCAAAAACTTAATATAACCCACAGATTTTCAAGTCAGCTAATGGAAAACTTAGCGTATAAAATAATATTTGATGGATACTAGTGAATATTTCCAGACAAGCCAAGAAAGTCTCACGTGGCCTGACGCGAAGCTGGCGCATGAGTCCATAACCGATTATCCGATCCGTCCTATCTTCAAGGAAACCACGCATATACAATGGAGGGTCGCGATTGTACCACCGCTTGGCTCTCAAGCGAGGAATAAGCGTTGTCCGAGCCCATGCATAAAAATCTTCCACCGTGTTCATCTGAAAACAAAGTTAAACTGTATGCTATAGCATTATCAATACGGAATACTTTTCCATCCTATTCCCTTAATTGCAATTTTAATAGGTCTGATAGGATACAAAATAAAATAACCTGTATATATGTATTTGAAACAAAACTTTTAATGTTTCGGATCAACCCATTGAGTCAAACAGACCGGTCAAGACACCAGTCAAGGACACAACCAATGTAAAAGTCAGTTCCTCTGAAATATTTCCGAGAATTCGGAAAAGTAAACTCACTCATGCAGTTTTAAGGAGTGGATGATACCGGTTAGTTAAGCTGGAAAGCTCGTTTGGTCTCTCGTCTTTTATCACTAATGCCCGGTGGTTGAAATAAAGCACCCGCGAACAATGATACCAAAAGTTCATGTTAACTTTGTACCCCTTATGTTTCGAACAAGGACCTGTTACTGAATCAGAGAAAATCAAAACTTAGTCCTCTTTTCACGCGAATCTAGGTGAGCGGCGTGTTATAGGCACCTATCAACCAAAAGTTATCCCATATACGTGTGGTTTATCTGACACCAACGTAAGTTGATAGCATCGGATTTTCGATGGTACTAGTTATTCGTCAAAGAGTTGTTAGTTAGCTAACAACTTTGGTGGCATGATGTAAAAGTTTCAGATTCATCTCACGTGATTGCGAATGACACTTTTTTGAAACTTCAGAGTTGGTTTTAATCGGTTACGTGTACGTGCCTCTTTCAACCCTAGACATGCCTTCTTGACCATGTTCCCCGGAAGATCCGTCGACCGGGTTCCTAAGTTCATAGAAATTTCACGACGTGATCGCGTTTGAAATATCATGACGTGTGATGTAGGTCGATGAGTTTTTTTCGCATCTCACAGTGGTATGAGGAACGTCCTGGAATATGAGCGTTAGTCGTGAGCTGAATTACAGCGTTGTTTATGAACAATTTTCATTAGTTAAATACGGGTATGATACGTCATGCGCTACTGACGTTCTACTCAAACGGCCTCCGGTTCCTCCAATTACCAGCGACTGCCACGAGGAATTAGCTGGTTGGAAACAAAACCAACAAGTATCCCTCTGACTGTGGTCAGCTGCTCGATGTTGCGACCCATAGCACTAGCCTGAGCACAATTTCCCCGTACACTACTTGTTCATTCGCTCACTTAGCCATCGGTTTGGAAAAGGAACACAGCACACAGTTCTACACTTTTACTACATCCCTGACGATGCTATATACGGTAGTCTTCAGCGGCAATTTTGGGACCGTGTTTGGATCTTCCGTCAACTGGCATGACCGATACAAATGCGCCTCCAGTGGTCTGGTCAAAGTAAGCTTCCCGCTGCAGGGCACCGAACACTAGAAGTGGATTGAACTGAAGGTAAGTAGACCCATTCTGATGTTGCAACCAAACCACACTACTCATTTGGAATAAACTGGAAAAGCATAGACAAAGTTTCACTGAAAATTTGTGATCCACTAGGCCGATAGGTTAGGAATAAAATAAAAACCTGAATAGGATGCAGAGCGACTGATATTTAGTCCAGTCACTGCGAGGCCCATGTCCTGACGTTATCAGCTTACCAGCCGGTATTAAGGAAATCCAAGTCATCGTACACAGGTTTTATTTTCCTAACAGATCGTCAGCTATAGTAGTCATAATCTCCCTGTTTGATGGCCTGTTATATCTGTTCCAAGTGCTACTAACTAGCAGACTTCCTCAAATGTCCCAATAGTAGTAACTAAGGCCCACCTGACCACAGTCGGATGCCGAAGCAGAGAATGCAGTCGCCTGTAGTGGCATACTGTTGGCCCCACAAATGGTCACTCAGGGTCGATCCCAGAAATCTTGAAAAATTAACTTCGAGCCAGATAACCCTTTTTTGCATTTGAATTTTGATGACATACACCGAACTACAAGTAGAACAGAGACAGTGTCTGCTGCAACTGCAAAAAGAGCTAAGCACGGTAGCTACTTGGGAGTGACCGAATATTCGGATATGGTCAACTGCATCAAGAAACGCCCGGAAATTCATTTAGCCTCAAGGGCATCTACATATAAAGACTGTGCACTTTGTTAGCTCACTCATGTGTTGACTTCGGTGGGTGCCTTCAGAAGCAGCTTCTGAAGCCAGTTGATTTCTGCGTATCCGAGGTCATTCCGTTCTGATGTTCGAAAGACCATGAAGTAAGACTAGCACAGTCCGCATTTCTGATGTATGGCTGGGTTGTTGCGATGCAACTATATGGTCTCAACTAGAAAACACCGGTTAAGGGGTGAGACGACAACGTGTACAGTGACCCGGGTTGTGGCACTTGATTGAAACCTATATCCGCCAGTGACTTCAACTTAGTGGTGAACTTTTTTCTCAACAGTGCCGATTAATGTCCACCTATCAAGGCAGTTCGTTGGTCGATGAAGGGACGGAGAATATCGTTTCTGATTCGTTCTTACATCGTGACGTCGCGAAGTTGCGAGAATGTTTGAATGTATAAAGATAAAACCGAGTAAAACACAGCAATAAAACAGGAGAGTGAAGTCAGATCCCATCTTTATCCGATTTTCAAATAACGTGCTTGACGGCTCAGATGGAGTAGAACTGTAATATAGTTGCCCTGACAACAAAACTTCGGTTTTATCGTGATATACCGGTGAATGGAAGAAGGCCTTCGCTGCAGAGTTGCTTGTTAGAAAGCGCCAACTGAACAGTTACAGCCTATTATACAGAAAAGCAAAAGTCTTATATGCATCTTATTTCCAAAAACTGAATATCCGTCTCCTCCTTGAACGCGTCTTCCTGAACTTTCCTGGATATTCAATGACCGTCATTCAAATGCAAGCGGATTTTACAAAGCGACTCCACAAACTCCGTAACAGATCTCACTTTTCAAGAGACGCGAAGCGGGTTTAGGAGAAAACATGCTACTCGTATGCCCCACCAGTAGTATCCACCGTTACACCGGTAGTTGTGTGGTCACAACAACCGCTGCTGGTGTCTGAGACAAACTGAATGGCTGCCGATGCACCTTCAAACTTGGATCATAAATCGAAAAGTATTTATCTGACTTTATCGACTATGTTAAGGGAAATTCCGAATGTGCGGATGGACAGTAGTATTGGATATCTCACTTATCGGCCAGGTCGTCTTTTTAGAAGATGCAAATGGTTTTCAAGGGGTTATTAAACAGAGGAGCTTGACTGCATGTAGCCCCAAATAAATTGAAGAACACCAGAACTTACTTCGGTGAATGCGTCATCAAAGAAGGATTGTTCAAGGTGTTTCTTCAGACTGAATCCAAAAGGAGCTCGGAAACTCATGGTAATCACGAGCAACAGGATCAGGAAAATTACGTAGAAGAAAATTTCGCGGATTATATCATTGGCACGCCGCTGTTTCAAACGGTACAATCGGGCTCGTTCAAGTTCTTCAGGGTCTGGTGGTAGTATCACAAGCTTTCTTGGTTTGAATGTATTCATCACTGTTATTGGGACAATAGAGAATGATTGGTAGGTATTCGGAAAGAAGTGTATTCATAATACATAGAAGCGACAGTTTAGATCTATACTTTAGTTGCAATCTGTTATAACATTGCACCAGTGGTAGGGTAAATATAGTATAAGTCTCACGGAAAGGCCATCTGCAGGAAGGATGGCTTGTTGGGAGCGGTCAGAATCCCGCTTTCGACCATGGCGATTTCACTTGGTGGAGCCATTCGTTCAGCCACAGCACCCTTTTTGGTGCCTAACTGCCATGCTACCAGAAGGAAGCAGGAGGGTTGGGTTGCTGCCAGGTTGCCCAAGGCTAGACAGGGGAATTCGACAGGCAGATGTCGGGTTCGAACCACGGACCTTCCGGTTAGTAAATTTGCGCTCTAACCACTGAGCTATTGTACCGGGTTAAATGCCAATAAAGTCGCTTTAAGCATTTAAGCCTTTTTCCCATAGAAAAGTGTTAAACCTGGAAACAATTCATTTTTGTTCGTTCTCTGTTTAAAATAATGAACTCAGACGACAGTTAGAACTTGTATGGAATTCAAACCCCCCACCCAGAAGACGCTCTGAGTTGAAGGCAGCCGAAGTCAGAGGCACCCAAGCTGAATCTTGCACATCACCTCATCAGTGATACTCCGTTATTTAACAGTAGACGGCCTGAAGGTCACCAATTAGGTGTCTGAGGTGTCTCAAGCTCCGCGACGCCCAGCGCACCCATTCCGCTAGATTCCAGTGTTGTCGTTGCAATTTTTTAGTCATTCACTTGGGGCACTCTAGTAGCTAAACGCTGTGTAAAGACATACATGTGATACGGCCTCATTGACATATGTGCACTGCTATGGAAATCGAATGGTTCTTTTTGCTTGACGTCCGCTTGTGGTCCTCAAATATGAGGTTGAGCAAAGGTCACAGGCAAGGGTTGGACTCAAATAGTTGACTATAATGAACAGTGTTCTGATGTTTGATCATTAAACCATCACTACACTTTTACTAGGGCCATCTCGGTAAACATAATAAAATGACTTCAAGTAGAGGCTACAATGCTCTATTCAGGGCATTTTGTCAAGCTTACGAAGAGGTGACATTCTGGCTCAAGGGATGTCACGGACGAAATGTTTTTCAAGGAGGTAGTGATGGCACACGCAATACTTTCCGCCGCTGCGTTCGCTGAGTTTTACTATTGCTACACGAGGTATGTTCTTGTGTTCTCAGACTGATTGCACGATGTGATAACAGCTGTCGGATGACTTTGGCACTCCAGACAGTCATAGAAAGAATTTTTTGCCAACATTATCTAATTCAGTGTGGCCTCACTGTTTAACACTAGGACATCTCAGTCAGGAATTTAGCGACCACTTTTGTGTTCAGCCGTATACGGATTACAGTAAATTTTTTGTACGTTTCAGGGACTTTCCGTCGATTGAATCCGTTGGCTTTTGTGACGCTCACTCACTGATCTTCAGCTCAATGGTCGGGGATGATCGGAGCACCCACAAATAACGATTGAGTGGAATGGGGTGAGGAAAACGCTGATCAACTCAAACACGATCTCCCCAAAAACCGTCAGTTGTCTTGACAACTTCAGTAACTATGACTTTTGCCTCGAAGTCCGAAGTGAACAGGAATTTTTCGGAAATTGTGACAATGAATTCATGTCCTGGAACCTATGTACAACTTTAAGATACGTCACTTCGCTCCAGAATGCTCAACCACGCCGATTGTTCTCCCATCTGTTCCCTCCTCTTTTTACCTGGAAAATTGTCCTTCATACGTATAAAGGGGATGTCATACTTCGTCGGTTTTACTGTGTTTTCACACAAAAAAAATGAAACATATTTTATGTACAAAGTGTTCGGCACCCAGTTCACACAAACCAACCCTATTTTTGATTAATCATGTCTAATTCTGAGCCCAATTACCCATATATGATCAAAATAACACGTACTGTGTGTGGAGAGATTTCTATGCTGTGCATTACGGCGTTTGTTCTACGTCAGTATCGTGTACACACATCGTGTACGCTCTCCACCAAAATGGTGATCTATCATGTTCTTTTTCTCCTTCTTTCTGATGTTATTTGAATAACTTTTCTCTTTGACTTTTTGAAGAATTCACTTAACCATCCAAATTATGCCGCGTTTTAAACATTCAACGCTGAAACACGGCAATATGCATCGCCGTTTCTCTGTGGTTCTGACAGAATAGACTTTTCTGTGAAACCTCTCCCGAACAAAGCCATCTCACGGGAAGATTTTCGGTGATACCCAGGGGCCTTCCTTATAAGGAAGCCCTGCTATGTCAGAACACGTCTCCGTGATGAGCGATCGTGTTTTGCCGTTGTCAGGACGGGCCTAGGTACGAAAAAGCACATGTGCAGAGAATGGCACATCCCCAAGGTCATCAGCGGTACCACACGTTCCGGATAGCAGGTGCGCTGGCGGAGCGCACCGAACACAGCTTAGCAAAATTCGATCAGCGTAGTGGGGCGAACACCAGAGTGGTATTCCGGTGCTCACGACCGGAATCAGTAGTAAGATATAACGAGTTTCGAAATCAGACTATAAAAAGAGGACCGGGACGACAGCAGTTCCTCAATAAGTAAATTTATGGAAAAATTTCTTTCTCTTGCAGTTGTAAGATAGAAAAATACTGATCACTCCTGTGAGCGAATCTCCCTGGGGTGAGGATTTGTCTTCATTCTCTTTGAGGTTCAGCCCTCGAACAGCGTATCTATCCACCGTAGATGGAGATGAAATTGGATTTCAATAGCATGTAGTCTCGCAAATCCAGAAGCACTGTACAGCTTTCTGTCCCTGCTACGAGGCACATCTCAGAAATCACCAGTGCGATTGCAACCCATATTTTATGGTTGGCATCCTAGCACGACCGGGTGATTGGACGGGATACATTATCCATACTTCCTGATCACGTGATCTGGTGACCACCGGATGCTCGAGCGACCACATTCTCAGATAGAGGGTTCAAGTGACTTATGAATAGTTTCCTTTCCCGGGAAGTTTGGGAATCGCGAGATTATCGATTTCGGGACTCAGAGGGTATTTTATCCAGATATCTTTTGATTCACGTTGACACCCAGTAACATACCCTCCTGCTACTAAAACACTACCATCAAATTTGTTTCCATTGAATAATTTTCTAGATATCCAGAGAATGGATGAGCTGATGCAAGAACAACACCAAAGAAAATGTCATTTATGAGTAACCGCAAGATTAGAAAGTGGCTGCTACTTACAATAATCGCTATGCATGTATTCTTCGTCCATTTGTAGCTGATACCTTCGCCCCAAGCCTTCGATAAGGGCGTCTTCTTCCTGCATAACCTCAACGTCATCTGCCCTCTCGCTGTTCTTGCATGCAAAGGACAGGAACAAGGCGAGTACAACTACCTAGGGTCGAAGAAAAGGAATCATCATCAACAAAGACAGCAACCTCAGTGTTAAAACTGATCCTTCACTGCCGCACAGCTATAACGTTCAACCAATTACATTTAAAGCCCTAGAATGAGAAGAACAGAAAAAGAGTGGGTAAAGGAGGGACCTAATGCCAGCTTGTGTCAAGCATTCCGAGGTGCCTAATCCGCCAAGTGCTCAATCAGACAATCTGGAAAGAAACTGACAGCACGAACGCTACTGGCATTGATTAGCCACCATTTCTTGTAATGTCTCCAGCCGAGCACAGGCTGGGTCACGGGGACTCCATCCTGGAAGGCGTACAACACCAGCGACGCCCAAATTCTTCATAATCTATTTCATGCTCTTGTGCTAAGTCATGCGTTATCCACCTCGAGGTTTGCGTCACTCTGATGGAGGCACGGAGAACAACAATCGTTCGGTAGACGGTGTTTCGGCGTGCGTGGCACATGACCGAGCCATCGAAGTCGGTGGTGCTGGATGTTTTCCCCAAATGAAGTACCTTCAGAACAACCGGATACGCGTTTTGTAGTCACCTTGTTACTAACACGCTGACGCCGTCCAAAACCAGCCACGCTTGTGAGACGCCTCACATCATCAGTCCGCAGAGGCCATGTCTCGCATCCATACAATAACACAGCCCTTACTGTAGCTTGGTACCCGTTACCCTTAAGATCTAGTGATATGATTTTTGACGCCACAAGTCACGCAAATTTGCAAACGTGATCCGAGCCTCATCAGACACATTTCCGTCAGAACTAATACAACTACCGAAGTATGTAGAAATTTCCCATAACCTCCAGTGATCCTCCTTGAATTGTGAGAAATGTGTTCGCAGACTGCACGTTCTGTAACATGACTTTCCACTTTGAAGTTGCAGGGCGCATGCCATAAGATGATATGATTTTGGTCAGTCTATTCAACGGGGCTTGTGCTACGATTCGGTCTTCAAAGATAAGGGCAGTGTCATCTGCGTACTCAGATCGACAAGGCACTCACAAGCAGCGATCTGAACACCGGGATTTTGAAGCCCTTTAAGCGTTCGCCTCGTTATTTCATTAAGGATGAAGTTGAACAAGAATGGAGGAAGTGGAAATCCTTGTAAGACACCACTTTCTGTAAGGAAGCCTTTGAAGAGCTCACCGCACACTGTCACCCGTCCAGAAGTTTGCGAATATAAGGATCGGATTATGTTCACAAAATTCTGGGACAAACCCTGTTGAGCAAGTGTAGTCAACATCACTTATCGGTCGACATAATCAAACACATTCTTGAAGTCAATAAATACCAAGATTTTGGGTCGTCTATACATATGGCGTTGCTCTAACATCTGACGGAGTGTGAAGGTGTGGTCAACGCAGCCTCTACCGCGTCGTAATCGCGTTTGATTTTCAAGGGTCAAGGGTTTGCGTGCCACCGTAAAGACGTCGAAGAATCAGGAACGCCAGAAGCCGTGTCATGGCAGGAGTACCTTTTCAAAATGGGCACTACCGTCGATTCACCCCAGTTGTCTGGGATGTCTCTTCCTCCCAGATAGACCCAAATAGGCCAAACAGGCACTGGCTGAAAATTCCACCGCCATCCTTGAAAAGAGCGAGTGGACGTTTGTCAGGCGCAGTATCATGATGAGGTTTGAGCAGAGAAATACATTTGAACACTTTCGAGGCTGAAAGCGGCTCCATATTAAAGATCTACCTTTCTGTTGAAGGCCAGGATTCTGGATTGGAGGTAGCAAGCAGCCAGCGGAATCGCTGTTTGAAGTACTGTGCCAGCGGCCCAAACGTTCTGCATTACTGCAGTGAGGGAGCTAACGAAGAAAAGGCATTTAATAATAGATACCTTCAACGCTGCATTGAAGCGACTCTAGAACGAAAGCTAAAATATGTTGCGCAATTTGACGTTCGAAAGTTGACCTGTGAGATAATTTATCAGTAGTATATCTAAAGTGAAAAGTAGGATCTGACGATAACCTGACGCATATTCTTGGCCTGTATTCATCAGATGTTTTGAGGGATCTCCGAAATTCAAAGAGGAGGAAGCATAATCGATTGGGAAATGTTTGAGATAGATTGGGTAGTCATCATTTCAGAGATGCTTGGCAAAAAATCGGTGGACTTATTGCTGGCAGCGTTTCGATTTTGACACAAAAGCCGCGTCGGGTCAAGTCAATTACCAGGTTGATCTGTTTTTAAGATAGACAGGGAACCAATCCATGAGTTTTCATGTGACAAAGCGACTTGATCAGTGCTGGGTGTGTCTGAAGTTACGATATGCTGATTAGTGGGAATGATCAGACACCCAGCACTGATCAAGTCAGTTGGTCATTGGAAGCCTCACGGATCGGTTCACTGACTGCCTTAAAATTCGAATAGCCTAGTAACGTACTCGTTTGGCTTGAGAAGTTTTTGTTTCAGAAGTGAGACGGAACCTAGCAACAAATCCATCAATCGTTCACGAAACCTCTATGAAAGGAGAAAGCCTGCTTGGGTAAACCCTTAAGAGCATATTGCTGTTTGGAGTTTTATTCATAATTTAGCAGGTGAGATTTTATGAACATGCAGCTGATTCTATTCGAACAACTGGGGAAACGGTCGTCCCAATCAACTACCAAGATAAGAAGCAAGAATGGTGACAAAGAAAGCCGTATTGTGAACAAGGCCAGACAATACCCGTTGCCCGCTCATTCTTAAGAGGTACTTTTGAAACTGACTAACGACATCTCGGCCACTGTACGTGGCAAGAAGTAAATGTTTTCTATAATGCTGAGGTTCCGCGTTAGCAGTCTAGGACAGGGCACCCCAAAGACCATGCCTCCCTTGCCATGACGATGCAGGGCCATTTACAGCCCACTGAAGTCAACCAAAATTAAAATCGTCTTTTCTTTCACGTGTATTGCCCAGAAATTGAACACCGAGAATGTTCTGAAGCCTGGAAACATCACAAACGACAGCTTCAGCTGCGTTCCAAGTGAGTCTTTCGCAAAACTAAATTCGTTTGCAAGTGAGTGTAATTCCCTGGAAACACCCAAACGACAGCTTCAGCTGCGTTCCAAGTGAGTCTTTCGCAAAACTAAATTCGTTTGCAAGTGAGTGTAATTCGCTAATGTTCTGAAGCTGTTTTTTTCAAAAACGTACAAAGCAAGAGTAAATTACAGTACACTCGATCAGAAAAAGGAACTTCTGGAATGCCACTACAGTATATCTATGCTGTGCGCTAGTTGTGGGCTTTGATTGCTCGATCATTTCTGTTGACGTGTCATGAGTATGACGTATAGTGGAGTGGCAGTCCACCCAAACACTCACCGCAACGCTTAGTCTATAAGTGACTTTCTGACATCTAAGATACAGGGAACCAATGAGTTGTAACTGACCTTGATTGGTTGCGTCAGAATCACGCTGGCGAAGAAGGACAGAAACAGTGAGGACAACCACTTCTGACAGACGGCTTCGCCAAAACTCACACCATAAAAGGTGGTAAATGCGACTGCCACACCCAAAGAAACAATGAGAAAGATCCATGCAAATATGCGCATTTGCCACGGACAGGATCTCTCTCGTTGTCTTTTCTGCATCGTGCTTCTGTATCAATAAAAAAATTAGAACGCACGCGGTAAGTAGAACACTTATTCACTTATTGGTACAAGACGTAGGACTTCGACGACTGGTGACTAGAAATGTGATCTCAACCAAGCAAAGATTGCATACACCACTCCATACCTTTTGAGTTCAAACTACAATTCGTGCAATGGTCGCATGAGTAAGATGACCGGCGAGTCTGTGTATACGACCCCGCCACAATGTACTCTCCAAGAAAACATAATGCAATGGAAATTTCTTAGACTGATGGCTCGTTTTGATGGACTTACTGGCACGCCAAATGGTAGACCTCGCAATACGTTTTTGAACTCTTTCTGACTTGATGCTCATGCGTGGTGCTTTCCTTTCTCGATTCGGCCGAAGGATGAGGTAACTACTGATGTTTGTGGTTAATTGATAAAATGTGTCCGATAAAATGAACGGCGTTTTTGAAAGTCGACCACATGGAACGCGGAACGCAGTCGGTCAGGCTGTTGGCTCAGGGACGCGACAGAAACTTTATATTCCCTGAGGGTTACTTACTCAAGTATAGTATTATAAATTATTTTCCATTTTCTCATTGATGATATAGCAAGAGGCCAATTGCCAAGATGGATGTCTGGAGCCAATTTTTTGCGCTCATAGGAAACCGAATTAGATGGATAGGGATAGAAATGCAGTGCTCTGTTTGGACCTGGTTAGGTGTACTTTACAACTACCAGCTACTTGACCAGAAAGCCAGAAATCATCCCAAAACAGAAACCGCAAGCCCAGAGTTGGTATCAGCAGTGCTTAAGACCGTTTGGAGCTATTTGAACTCGGTATCAATTCCCTTGCCGCTGTTCGGTTTCCTAATTTCAAACTCACTTTTCTGCTAGATTTTGCGCTTTTCCTTCTTCCTCAGCTGCAGTTTCCGACGTTTTTGCCTCGTAGTAGACTGCTGGAACGTGACTTACGTCGATCGTTTCGTCCAGGTGTTCCTCCACGGCCTCACGAAGTTTCTTCGCATGACTTGTGTATAAGCGCGAATTCCGGAATATGTAGGTCACAATGAACGACGGGATAAGCGTGATGAGATTGTTTATGAAGGCGACAAATACCTGTGCAAGGAATGGGTTCGTTTGGTTAATATCCTCACTTGAGAATGGGAAAGGTCATAGAAATTCGAATGAGCTGCCCCACATAGATAAGTAATCAATGGTGTCAACAACGACGTGGTATCCACTCAGTCAATCGCGATATCAATGGATCAGTCAGCCTACCGATGCTACATTCTTACAGCTTCGTCGCCGTAACCTATCCAGAATTCCGGAATAGTATTAGAAGACTTGTTAACATCCTTGATGAGGCCAAAAGTGGGTTTGACCATTTGTAACCAGAAAAATAAGCCCTAGCTGTGGGCTGCCGAACCACTTTCTTGTTTGTTTTAGAATGTTTATACGAAAACGTTTGACCCCACTGGCATCTTTGTGCAATGAAACTCTACAACCAACATCTGCTCTGTCGAAACGTTCTGGGTCATTCAGTTTCTAATCCCCATGTCTCGGCTTTGCATCATAGATTGGCTTCAATGGCAGGATGAAATCTCTATTGCTCTATGTCTTCGTTGGTAATCTTGATTGGTTGTTCAGTTTCGAGGTTTGACAGCTCGGATGATCCCAAAGTTATGGGTTGCACGTTGCCTAATGCTCTGAGAGTGGCATCTGATTCTTGGGATAACAGGCGAAAGGAACGCAACATAAACTCTGGTCTGATGGAGCAATCGCGATGAATTGTTTTGGCAACTTACGATAACAGTTTGAACATGATAACGGCGATACAGAAGCCACACATTCACTGTGTGACACATTCTGGTAGGCAAGACTTCAATGAAGAACATTCGTCCATGGAGGCCTGTACCTCAATACCACAAGCAATCAACGGTAGCCAATCAAACAAGAACACTATAACCGAAGTTCCACATCCATAGAAAGTTTTGGCAGACAGAGGTGAAATTGTTCCATAGAAAAACAGCTGGTTCCATCCTCCACCTTTGATCCACCATAATAATTGGTTTATTCAATAGTTTCTGATTGTCAGTACATCAATCCTCCGGATATTTTGGTACACGAAACACGACATGCAAGTGCAAATGAATCATCAATGACTGAGACTGTGTAAACAGCGCACTTTCTCACACTTACAGTAACTGAGCTTCTGAACGGGAAAGTCACTGAGTCACTCATAATTTCCGTGTCAACTTACACCAAAACGTTGGTAGGTCAGCCCATTTTACTCACCGTATCTGTATAGGTTACACATTAAAATATGTACGATCTTTACTCCACAGTATGCTTCAACAGTTATATTCTGATAAGTTTCATACCAGTGACGAAAGACTCATGGTATTAATAAAAATTCTCTTATTCCTACAGCCTTTCCCGGTAGTGAAGTGGCGCATCTTAGGAACTTGCAAATAACAAACCAAGCGATATTTTGTTAATTTTGGAGCCTTGCAGCAATAAGCAACTTCTGGTGAGAGATCCGAGAAAGAACTAGCGTTTTGCTGTTGTTCATGGACTTATGAATTATGCATTCCTCTCTATGCCAAAGTGTAGACGCAGCCTATACAAACCTTGTATTGGGTTCTTGACTAATTATCAGTTTTTCGCAATAGAAGTTTATGGAATTTAAGGAAAAGGTGAAGTAGGTGTAGGAGTGTCTCCAGTACTGACTGGTAGACGCGCACAGGCTGTCATGCCAAACATTTGGCCTGGAGGCCCTCCAAATGGGAGTCAGGGATACTAAGAAAGTCGAAATCAGGACTGTAGTTCCTACATTCATACGTGACTTTCCTGGCGACCAGCATGTGCACCGAACACTCTCTAGCAAAGGATTGACCTGATGTATGACATACACCTGACTGACATTGGCACATCGCCTACAATCGCTCATAGTTGCTCACCCCAGTTTATTTAAGGTGGCTGTGAGGATCCTTACAGTGCAGCAGTCAGCTGAGGACGTTCCTCGTGTGAAGTGTCTGCGTCTCTGTTGACACCTGGCGGCTGTCCCACACGAGCAGATGACCTTGCCTACTGCTGGTCTTCGTGTTGTTTCCCTCACATGAACAGCGTTTCGAAATTCCTCACTCATTCTCACGTGCCTACTGCCCAGATAAGCTCTAGTCCCGTCTCCGGTGGCTATTAGGTTGGACATTTAGCAGCACACCATGCAGCCAAGCCCGCCAGCAACACAGCAACACACAACGGTCTTCTATAGAGGAAAATGTTGGTAGCTCAGGCACAACCACCAACCCACCGCTACGCACTCCTACGCTCCACAATAACGCACTGATGATGTCACCTCGATTGGTGATGAACATTTGCAATTCAAATTGCCAGCTCAGCGAACAAGCCAACGACCACCACACAACGGTCTTGTTCAACCCGTTTGGTTAGGGTTTTTACCGATGCGACGTTTTCGCCACCTAACAGGGTAAGCTCGAGTGCTGTAGCGTGTCTTACCATACGAAGATCTAGCGGAATCTTTAAAGTATGGGACCCTAGGACTCCCCGAGTTCAAAAACGTTTCAATGAGAATGTTTTTCTTGTGGATTTTGCATGTACGCCAAGTCTTTGGATATTGGCTGACTGCTGGTCGTAACACTATGAACGAAAGAGCTTTCGCGGTGGCTCACTCAATGGAACCTAGCTGACAGGCGAGTGGTTACAAGCTTGAATCAGGCCGGCTGCGTCCATTTCTACTATCTTAGGTAATATAGTTTCCCTCCAACAATTATTCATATTTTCATATTTCGTTCGTCGATTCCAAACTCTAAACTTTGGGAACGTAACGTCTATCTAGGTAGGAAGCATAAGGGGCTGTTATAGCCACAGTACACACAGTCTTCATTCCTCAAGTCAGTAAGTGCATCTATAGTCCGCAGAAGACGATGTGTACGCTTGAATTGTACAAGTGTCAATATTAAATCGGTTGGTCCTCACATGTTTTACAGGCGAGTGAGAAACTACCTAATCGAATCCAGACGCCGACAATTGTCTCTCAGATTGGGTTACTTTCCAGTCTATCATTTAATACATTGGCTGCGACCAAAACTGTACAGCCAGTCATAATAAAGTGGACTACATTGGAGCACAAACAAAAGTGATCTCAATGCCTCACCTCTTGTGCACTGAGTGCAAATGGCCCGATAGTGAGAAGATCTGGTTGTTTTGCAGCTCCTTCGCCTCGATAGAACATGCAAGATGTCAACATGGAGAGGAACAGTAACAGCATGCAAGTGGCGACGCGTTCCACACGAGTGAACCGACTACTGGCCGGTCGCGCGACCACAGAAACCCACAGGTGGTCCTCTGCTAGATCATGCGTTATGCTGGTTGTGAACATGTGAGTGAACGCCATCAATTCTTCTCTGGTGCTAACAGCAATTAGACGATCAATCTGACGAACAAGGAAAGAAAAGCAGATAGATGATACATGGCCTCATACGGTTCACCAAGGTGCCTTTTCATAAAGAAGTATGTGACATCGGTATCTACTGAGACATAATGTGCTTCAGAAAAGACGCCTGATGCAAGTAACAGTCTCTGGACTCTCAAGAATATGGGAAAAGCACACCTTTACCATAACGTTGTTGTCGGTCACCGTATTAAGGAAAACGTCACTAATCGACTTCATCTACAGCCGTTCTATACCAAAAATACAGGATCAGCTCCCAATATAATAGTACACAAAAATACGCTTTCAGTACAAAACAGTCCTTAACTATGGCTGTCTCTGTGACAGACATCATGACGAACAGAGCTGTCAACTTTTTCTCCCACTGGTAATTCATGTCTAGTCATTTTAAACAAGTTTTTGAACTGAACTTCCATTCACAATTTTCCAATTCGCATCAAAATTTCAGAACCTTAAAGGCATAGCTAACCTCTGAGACGATAACCGAGCAAGCACGTGTTTTTCCGGTACATGATATTTTTCTTCATTAGATAAAGTGTTTAATATATTAATTCGTCGCCTAAGACCGTAAAGGGCTGGTCTCGGGTGCATTCATGTTGCCCCGAAAACACAACATGAGGCCTCACGTCCTGAGAAAAAGACAGGAGTGTTGCAATTGAAACTCAAGCCGTCAGACGGATCAATGAGGTCTCAGTATCATACAGAAAACTCGAGGAAAACTGAACTCGATGATGTCTGATGGACGTCTGCGTCGTGTCGGACTCAAATTTGCACCACAGTGGTCAAAAGGTATGACCCTGTTCTGTTTTCTGCGGAACAAACTAAGGCAATGAGCCCACTACTAAACTTAACACATCAGGGGCATGCGGATGTCTGCCACCACGTGATGTTTTAGTAAGAGGGCTGCCCTGCCTCCTCCCCAGCCTGTCCTAATGCGACACGAACTTGTCCGCTTCAGTCAACGCATTTTAGACGAGATGGACAGGTTGGATAACCGGAAGTGTTGATACGAATGGCACTCTCCATGTGGTTTTGACATAAGCTGTGCGACGGAGTGTGCAGGTAAGCCCTCAACAAACCGCATGCTTCCATGGATCGGTAGCAATCGGTACACCGAATCGAAACAAAGCCTAGCTTCGCGTGATGGCTTCGCCAGTGTACCGACTCAAGCAACATATAGTTGTCAAACTGAGCCCTCCCTATGCGTCACGGGATCATTCCCACCCATTTAACGTGAAAATTCTTGTCTGCAACCCAGCTGAATTTTTGCCAACGTGTTAATGCATTTGCCTCGCCGAATATAGGATTGTGTTCCATGGACTTTGGACAATAAATGAGCTTTCGCTAAACTGCATAGCACCGTTCACTCTGACAGTGCATTAGGTGACATGGACTCAGATTCGAATACAGTGAGAATTTTTTCAGCATAAGATACCTTCTTCGGAATAAAAACGACGGGCCCGCAAGGTAATATTACCGAGTGGGCTTTCCGCAAAAAACGAAACCTTCAATGGTGCGTGTAACAAGTGCAAAATGTTCGTTTATAAATGGCATCGATTTCGTAACTAACTTCATGGCACTCGCCCGGCTGAATGTGGACTTATCGCTGACTTACACAGTGATATGCCATGAGATAGGTTTCACGTTAACGTTGTAGTGACGATCATTTGGTTACTCCATGTATACCGCACCATGACTATGCTGGTCTTCTTGAATTACAAAGCCAAATAGAATGGAATAAAATTTCACGGTTGTAGGCACGATAACCATAAATAGAAAAGTATAAAGTTTTGGATTGCTTTTCTTGAGTTTGTTGAACTTGAGCTGTGTACTTCCACACTTGTGGTTGTGAATTCCGAATTAAACCTTACGGTTCATATCTTCACAGATGAGCCAATCGTTTGGAAGAAATATCGCTCTCTTGTGGTTCTTCCCTAAGAAGAACAGTTCGTAAGCCATGCATCAAAGTTCAGTGAAAGCGTGAGTTCTTATCAAAGAATCTTTAAATGTGCATAGTTAAATCCCATTAATCGTACTTGTCCATCCTCCTCTTCGACAGCAAGCCAACGTTCAACAATGAAGTGAAACTTCGCACGGGTTTGCAAATCAACCACTCCGATGTAGTTGCAGTACCAGGATGCCCGATCACCTTTTCCAGAATTGTCATGCCATATACGGCAATATATCAAACTTCCCAGTGGTCTGTATGGTTGGAGGTGAAAAAAATTCCAAGGATCAGCTGATTCAAAGTCTAATGAAGTCTAATGTAGATGCTTGACTCTCAGGTGGAACATGCTCAACTCCAAATCTCGCTAGAATCACCCAAAACTTGTTAATACGAATGGAAAGATTTATACACTGCAAGAGAGAATTATGGAATTGCCTGTAATTTTTTTTATCATATCTTAACTTCTCACGGAAGAAGCGAAGCGATTTCACGTCAGTGTTGACAGATATGAATAAAATCCAAGCTATCGTCATACTATGAAGGAACTATTGTGAAAAATGAGGAGAGTGGAAACGGAGGGCCACACAGATATTTCACATCGGGAAAGAATTCAGTGACGAGTTTCCGCCTCAAGATCCTTTCTATGACTTGTTTTCTTATATCAGTAAAAAGTGTCCAACTCTATTTTGGTTGGCACCCGTCGCGAACCCTGACGCGAGTAGCGGTGAAAAGATAAGCAAAAAGTGAATTGAATCTAACTCGACAGCTTGATGACTCCAGTTTACTAACCTTTTATTTATTTATTTATTTATTTATTTGTTTGTTTGTTTGTTTGTTTACTTATTCAGCCCGAGTGTTTCACATGTCTTGCTCCTTTGCGGCCGCCCTATCCATCAGTCACCTTGCCACAAAGGTCTTCTGTTCATCGAGAAATACACTAATCTGCAAATCAATTTGGTTTTCACGGGAGACTCAATTGAATCTCTCGTTTATGATGTTCTCCAGCTGAATGTGCTGCACACAGGCCGCCTCATGATTCAGTTGGCACGATATTCAATATATCGAAGTATATTTTCATAAAGGAAACTACTCACAAGGTTGCTGAAGAGTTTTCAGCAACCTTGTGAGTAGTCTTCTGTTCATGTTCTGTCTGCCTGGTCGGTTCTGACTAGTCATTTCGTGACACCTGTGTAATCATAACGCCAATCCGAATCACAGGACTGGTCTCGGGACAGACGACTGCAACGCACACCGCCGCTAAGTGGTATGCGGAGTGTGACCCTCCACTGTACTGGTCAGTGACAGTTGTGAACCTGTTGACGCAACGAGCGTGAGCAGCTGAATTTCGTGTATGGTTTCGCTTGGTTGTGCGTAAACTCTGCCATAGGCTTTCGAACCCAGTTCTCCTCTTTGCTATTCGGGATCGTCACACCTGCTTATGACCCAAAGTCCCGTATGGGGAACTCAAGTGAATGTCGTTTTGGGACCTAGCCGGAAACGGGAATGACCGTTTTATCAATGCTGATTGGTCTCGACCCTTCAAATGCTCACAACCGGAAATCCGAGTAAATAATTGAGTCACTTAGTATCGTGAGCAGGCTGGTGGATAGGAAATGTCAACTACACAATGCTACATTGACCCCTTCAGCAGGTAGTTTCTTCTCCGTTATGTGCAGTAATGAGGTTGACGCACGCACAGGTCTGATCTCAGTCATATTGGGAACATAAGGGGCATACTGCTACTCACAGAACAAAGGGCGAGAAAAAGTCAATGACTTCAACACTGGTCGTTGCATAGAAGTGGTTGTGAAGAACGACCAGACAAATCGTAAGTTGGACACTCACTAATAAAGTACCATAGCGATTTATAGAAGCTTTGGGAGGAACAAACAGGAGTACATCTTTCAAGGATAAGGTAGCTTAGAATGGTCCCATATTTCTCCGCACTTATTTTCCGGTTTCTGCTGTTTTCACATCACTTTCGTCCAAGCGTCTTTATGTAATTTCTGGATTGGTGCTTTAAAGTTATCGTCAGTCGATTACTAAAGCGGTTGCATAATTTACTAGCTGAGTGTAGCACTATTTTGCCTTTACAAAACCCCTAGGCGCGATCTTATTCTTTGAATGGTAACGCCTATGCCTTCCATTTGTGGTGGCATGAAACGAAGATTAGTCGGTGCTTCATCACATGAGCTCTCAATCTCGCCCAACATGAATAGGAAAATTTTCAGTTTCATGCCCGTCAAACTTGTAAAATGGACTAGTCATGCAAAGCCAAACCATTGAGTATTTTGACTCGACTGTGACTTATCGAATAGATGCAGCAGGATCCAGTGTGTGGGCAGAACAAAGCTTAGTTGTTCAACTTCTAACGTTTCAAATGGTGGTGTTGAGATCTGAGATAAATTTTCCTTAAGATTCAAGTACGCAAATGTCCAGTCTCATCACACTCGCTAATGTTTTTTTTTTGCTTTGTTAATCGACGTATTGCGTGGACTATGTGACCAAACGATAGGGTTCGATATGGTTCGGAGTGTTTAACCTTGAGGTTTCCAACTGGGGTACCGGTTCGAACCCAGCGGTGACTAGTCTATTACACTGGTGAATGCATCGCAGACTGTCTTGGTTATCAGGCATCAAAGGAGTTTTGCACGTAAATGGTCCAGTTTTATCTGACAATCACTAGAGACAATATTCAAAAACGTTCACCCCAAACATACCGAGGACAAGCAAGCAAGAAGCGATCACAGTTTCCACGTTGCAGCACTTTACGATGTGGGTCATGTAGAACTCGCGCGTCCGTTTCTCCATGTTCCCCAGACAGCATGAAGCACACTCTGGAATCGGTTCCAGCACCTCGACGCATCCCAGTGCTAACAATCACCTCGTAAAGATACTCGTCATCCGGATTGTTTTCGGCCAGTGGCGTAACTCCAAGCTGTGGTGAAAGGCAACTTATTATAGCATAGGTCTGTTTTGCGTTTATATTCAAAGTTATATATATATATATATATATACTTTGTTACTCATAGGATTGATAAAATAGAGACCTGCTTGCTCTAATACCCTTTTTATCCGGCCTCTTCAAATTTTCATTATCACCCGGGTAGAAAACTTTCTCTAGTCTTTTTGATCACGGTAGCTACGGTCCACCTAATCGCTTCCGCTTCTTTTAGAGCGGCTGATAAGCGTTCACACCAAATAAAGGAGGCTTTATTTTACAGAAACCGAGTTCAGACATCCATCATAAGATCTAACCTTAAGGACCGACGGTTTTCAACCAGCTGTTTTGACGGTCGTTCATTGCGGCATTTGTAGACCCTGAATTTTTGGGTAATTCTTTTTCTGAGTTCTTGCCTTGTGAAATTCGCTGAGGCCCTATAGAAGGTCACTTCGAGTGTCGGTTGCATACTTGTGAAAATGTGACCTCTAACCTCAACAAGAATTGTTTAATTCACGCGCATTTCTTTAGTCTCAAAGACAATATATCAGTTCGTTTCCCACAAACTGGCAGGTAAATAAGCACAGCTTATGTGGTAACCGGGTGTTGTTGGGCAGATGCTATGCAGTGGTCTGCAATATTGTATTTCTCGTGACCTGGACTATGTGAGGAGGAAAGAACCACTGGTGTATGACCAATCTTCATTATGTGACAGTCCGAATTAAAGATAGGAAGAAGTATCGAACAACTATAAACATATCGAAATAATTTACCTTAATGTTTTATTAATAACACAAGGGCAGATAAGTACGATCGAATCATGCGCCGATATCAAAGGGACAAGGTTAGGTTTTTGGCACGTATTCTGCTGACCATCACGACAGTAGTTCATCCCAAAGTAAATGAAAACCAAAAAGTACTGAACAGCCGTTTCGTCACTCAGCTAAGCTTTTATCTTTCAAGTGAGTTTGGTCTACACCGGAAAGCTTGGAGGTACTATTCACAACTTTCATCGAAGCGTATTTCATGAATCTCTGGGGGGGGGGGGGGGTTCACGAACTTCGGGGCATTTCCCAACCCTTATGCTTGGATATCCAATATCTTCATATTGTTACAGATTCTGGATGAAGATGTAACAGTTTCACAGTGATTCCCGATCCCAACATAGACTTATCAGTTTTTGTTGTGTTTTATTCTGAATCAGATGGGGTGTTTATACCCTATTTTTGATCCAATGTAACTAGGTTAGCATTGTTTGAAGGAGACGCGTGATAACCGGAACTTCAGATTTCATCATCTTATTTGAATCATCTTGGTATTCTTCAAATAGTACTGTGTATCTCAGAGATTTATCCCAGGGTCAATCAAGCCGCAAACAATATCTTGCACAACAGTCTCATCAAAGCGTAGGAAACAACCACTCGAATTGATCTTGACCTCATCGACTATGCATTATCACAGCATCGAAATTCGAGTTGGTGAACACTTGATTTTGGTGTCCTTATTCGGGAGGGAGGAACACCATAAACGGGACATTCGGCTGGGATTCAGGTGAGTCTCCCATGGAAACCCAATGGGTATGCAGATGAATGCGTTTTTTAAGAAATGAGCTGTTTTTCTAACCACCAATTTTGTTTCGAATTTCCAGCCTTCCGTTTATGCTGAAAATTTCCCAGTGTTGCTGTATAACGTTTCCCGTGTGTCCAATGAGTTTGGACCGGAATCTGCGAGTAAAAAGAAGTGAAATGAAAGGTCCATACATTGGGAATCGGTAGCCTCCTAATAACCTCTGTTGGATGACAGGACAGCCCACCAAAAAGTGCACGTTTTTATGCTTTTATGTGTCGCTACTTATTGCTTCAAGTAGTTAAGATACTTAGGTGTTACAGTAAGCGAATCGACCAAACGATGTCATGTCTGTGGAAGCTATCACTCTGGTTGCTGGCAGACGACGAAAGTTCATTTCGGAGATGAAGTTACCTTTTCGATATCCTTTATGTCTTTCCGTCGGGCCCAAATGAAGAGCAGCAGAAATAGGACGCCGAGCGCAATCTCCGTCGCATATAGCGTAGGGTTCTTGGTGAAATCCATGTTTGCGAACAGATAATCAAAGTCCAATGTGTTGGGTAGTTCAAGCCATCCAGAGGCAAAGGTTGATAGATGGTAACAGAGGCATTGGGTTTGCTTCGCTGTGGTCAGCTGACCAACCTGGGTAAATTGGACAGAAAAGGAGAATTTACAATCGATTTGAACGCTATCTTGTCACCATGGTTCGCTCTAGTCTGTTCATGAACTAGCAAACAGTAGAAAATGAAATGATGTACGGAATGGTCAATAATACTCTTTAGTAGAGTTAGGTGTAAGCAAACCCACATCACATCCACGTGAATTCCACGAAGTTGGATTTTCTGAATCGGTGCTGACGCAGGTGGAAACGAATGCACGGGACTTGGCTGTAATATTTATTTGTCCACGAAACGAATAGGGGATCGGAGGGGGGTTACTTGGACCGTATTGATTCAGCTCCAAGGGTTCAAGCTGCCGATAACCAATAAAAACCATCTGCAACTCAGTTGGGCTCAGTTTGCGTTCTCCAAGTGCCTCAACGGCTCGCTGTTTGGCCTCTTTTAGCAGTTTGTTGTCCAGGAAATAGGTGTACAGGTAACCATGTTCGTCGGGGTCCCAGATGGCGTTTGCTTGTCCTATGAAGAATATCCAAGTATGGAATGATCAGCTACCACCTAATTACGTAGCCTCATATTCTAAGGGTCGACAGACGGTGTATTGAATTATGCCAACCATGTGACCAATTTAGGAAAGTAATATGTATTCGACAAATACACTTAGTTGATGATAGTCTTTAACTGAATCTTCAGCACAAAGGTTGCCTCATGTGTCAGTTGGTACGATATTCAAGATATTGCAATATATTTTCATAAAGGAAACTATTCACAAGTTGGCTGAAAACTCTTCAACAGCCTACAACCAGTTCCGCCTTTCTTGGGACTCACCAGGTAGGCACAGTCCCCGAGTTTCCGTCAACCTTACGTTCTACTTGAGCCCAAATGGGACCAGTTTCGACAAGTACACATACTAGGAATTTTCAGCAACCTTTTGTGTAGTTTCCTTTAAGGAAATAATATGTGCTTTTACAGTTACATTAATCCAACCAAATTTGCTTGCCGCAATAACTGAATAGACTTCCTCCAACAGAGAAACCAACTAAGGCCAACTCATCAGTGTCTCGCGAGGTGGAAATTTGTGTTGCTTTCTTTCGGTAAATTGCCATGCTAGGATCAAAGTTATTTCCAAAGATGGATCAACGAAATGCACTTGTAGACACTCTGACACCAAATAAGGGTGTGGCTGCAGCAGTGCAGATGAAATACGTAGATATACCTCTGGACTAAACAACCCTACCCACTCCTGGTACGATTCTCCCCAAAATCGAATATAGATGTTGTTCTTATGATGTCTTATCAGCGGTGATAGGACTTGATATCCGTTCATACGAAGTGCGAGGGTTGCTACATTAACTCCACATGTGGGTTATTGCACCTGATCAGCAACCTGCGTTTTACCTGAGAAGTTTAGTATAGACACGCTGATCTTGTTTTGTCTATTCCGCAGGCTTTACGATTTCGTTTAGAGAACAAAGTAGGTCAGGTTTTCCTTATCATCAGTAGAGACGTGCCAAACAACGAGCCAGCACCAGAGTTGAGTAAGAAGTACACTTCAGTTAAACAGGAAATGACGGTCCAGCAAACTTTTATGCTGTCTGAAAAGCTTCATGTATCAAGCCAAGCAGAGGTCGTTGATCCCTTGTCCTTCCCTTAAGCTTGATTATCGCAGGCAGTAGGCGAGGAGGTGACTTTTCATTAAATAAAGGAGAGATCTGAGCTTGTAGCGACCCGGTCACCCACATGCTTGACTGTTCAACTCAGCCGCTCACTGGCTCACAGGCCTCTTTTTTTCTCATACGCACAAACACGTCGCATTAAGCTGACTCACCGGACATCGATTGTCTGCACCGCCTAGTCAGCGTAGCAACCACTCATGTGCCGACGCGCCCACGTATACGCACTGGGACCTACATAAAGAGAAACCAAACCCAGTCAACACACACAGACTCGCGCGCGCAGGGAGCAGGAAGTCAACCTCTCCACAAATCCACGGACAACCATGGAGTACGTGTAGCAGTCGAACTGCGGAGAAAAACACGTTCCCGCCGTCCGGACTTCCACCAAGGGACTCTCGCATCCGATAAGTTCCCTTTTTGACTTGCTCCCATCCTCGCACTGTATTTATTTTCATACGCGTCGCAACCATACAGAAACTTCTATTAATGCACATTCACCTTCTGGTTTGTATTATGGCTATCACTACCTGTGCACTAATAAGCTCAGCCTGCACATGCACTCGACTGGTGATATGTGGGTCCCTGTAATGGGAACTCAGGAATTATGGACAGTGGGTAAGGCATGAAAGTTTCCGTTCGGACAAACGAAACTAGCAGTCAGCACATAAGCACGGTGAAACGGTTTCCTTACATTTAACAATCCTCTCAATGTGTAAGCTACAGTAGTAAATTCAACCTTCGCCTTGGCAGTTAGAAGGCGGTAACAAACCTGGACTGCTTATTCGGTCAGCTGAGTAGGCTGAAATAGTAAACCCCGCGGAGTTTACAAAGTAACTTGGGGTAAGGCCTAATCAATCGTCAGTACCAAAAACAGTTGTTGTATGCTTCCTAAATGACTCTGTCCTGTCAGTGGAAAGCGTGATTCGGTTCAGTACGCGCCAAACTGTGGTGCCCCCCCCCCCCCCCGGTGCC